ATGATTTTAAAAGATGACCTTTCTTTACACTGTGGTGTGTGTGTGTGTGTGTGTGTGTGTGTGTGTGTGTGTGTGTGTGTGTGTGTGTGTGTGTGTGTGTGTGTGTGTGTCACAAAGTCCACTCTGGCACAAGAACAGTTAATATTTCCATGCTTGCATAGCACAAATGAAACAGCTAATAACATAGCATATCTTTAAAATTCAGTATTTTTCTGTCACAGACTTTTTTTTTCTTTCTCTGGACCACAGATTTGTTGTTTTCAGCAAATCTCCATTTCATAAGAAATTAAATACCAGCTGTCAAAGTGTGGGTATGTTAAACTGGGTATTGCTTCCCTTCCTCTGGGTTACTAAGAAGTGACATGTGACATGTTTCTCATTTATATGACAGTGTAGGGATTCATTTTCACACACACTTGGAGCCAAAGATTCAGACCATTGCAATAAAAGCTTTTTGGCTTTGCTGCAAGAGAGCAGTTATTTTTACTTTTCTCAGCTGGAAGCAGGGCAAAAGAGAAAAGGGTAGCTGAGGGAGAGAGACAGAGAAGCAATGTGTGAATGTGTGTGCGTGCACGATGGAGAGAAGGAGATGCAGAGGGATGTATCGAACAGGGAGACTACGCTGATGGTAAATGGGTCACCCTGTTAGGAGTCTTCAGCAGACCTGCGTGTAGTTAAGAGAATCATGCCTGCAGGCTGTATGTGCTGGGCTAAAACCTTACCCGGTGACACAGGAACTGTACAAGGAAGGAATTAAATGCATTTTAAATGTATGTTCATTTGTAAATTATATATGCTTCACCTCACAGTATGCATTTGATGGCACATATAATTAGTCTAGTGAACGTGCGCCAGCGTTTGTGCAATGTTCCGCCACTTTATGCAAGTGTTTTTATTAGCGTATGTGGGTGTGTGCATAGAAGCTTGTGTTATCTTGAATTTGTGTTTTTGGAGTGACAATAGCACAACCTACACAGCCAGTGTTTCCTGGTGCCTATACAGGATCTCAGTGCAGTGCTGGAGGGCTGAGAGGACTTGTTAATTAATTACTGGTAGGCGACCAGCAGAAAATTGATCAGTGACTCTTTGATAATTGATTACTTGTTTAAGTGGTTTGTCACATTACAGTCCCATTCATTTACTGGTTATAGATTCTCACGCGGGTTTTACTTGAATTTCTCCGTTTAAAATCTTTGTGATCAGAACCTGATGTGTTAATTTCACTTTTCAATCCAAGCAATTTGAAAGCATAATAATAATTGTAAGAAAAAGAAAAAACTAGAAAACAAAAAGACGTACATTTCTCAGGAAATTTTGAGTGTCCCAATGCACCAGCTGGCCATGAAGATGTCACCACAAGTAAGAGCTAACCAAATAATAGCTTTGGGGAAGCTGTAAGACATTTTAAGGTCAAGATTTAGGTAGCCAAACATAAATAAATAAATGAATGAATAAATAACCGTGGATAAAAAGAAACAGGTGTGGAATGGTCTTTAGAATATGGAAGGAATTTTATTCTGAAAGTCTAAAGCTTTTGCAGGCATCCTGTTTTTACAGTAGTAGTCGTCATTGAAAGAATAAAACCCACTATCCTTTTCAACCCTGAAAAGAAGCTTTACTATTTGCAAGCTTTTATTTTGACAGTCTAGTACTATTTAGCTAGTCTTTTTAGAAATGAGAGACAAAGTGTAGACATTTGTCTCTCCCATGTCCATGTGTGAAGGAGACAGGAAAGAAGCGTATTAAAATGGAATTTGGTTATTGAGTAGGTCTTATTTTGAAAGGCCACATTTTTTAAACATATCCTGCTTAAACCACTATGGCATCCACACAATAGTCCATTATATTCATGCATTACTGTAGCGAGTTTACATCACAAAATGAAGTACCTTGAGCCAACTGTTGTTGTGATTTGGTGCTATATAAAAGAGAAAAAAAAGAATTGAATAGCTCATTATATACAGAAGAGCCAGCATCATTTATGAGCCCCAGCAACTGGCTGCAATATTTGTTGTTTGCAAGCTTTTATTATGAAGGACACACTTTGCTTAGAGTCTGATTTTGAAGGTGAATCAAAATTTAGACAGTCTGGATCATCTTCCCTCTCTTTGCCATCCTTACAGCAACACTTATTCAGTCCAAATGACATCCTGATGTCCTTGCTGTAGATCCTGATGAGATATATCAGTGAGTCAATGTCTCACTTGCTCCTGGCATACAGCTTGATGCCATCCATGTACAGGAGGTGGCAGATGGTCATTCAACTCCTGAATGTGTTTCTATAACCACTTGCTGTGATGAGCTGGCTGAGGGTGTTGAGGCCTATACAGCACAGCAGCAGGAACAGTGTATCACCTTGATATAATCTGAACTTTGATGGTGACTTGTGCAGTTAGCATGGAGTTGTTGTCTTCCAGAGATTCATTCAGTACCTGATGAAGGCTATTAGTACACCATTAATCTTTTATAGCACCAAACACTCCCGTAGTCCATGTAAGGCACAGGCTTTCTTGCAGTCAGTCCAGGCAGTGCTCAGGTTGGTCTGCCTGGTCTTAGAGTCTCTGACTCTATTGGTGAAAGGGTCTTTGGAGAGCAGGCCGTTTGTTCTTTTGAACTCTGCTTCTCTGCTTTATCTCTTCAGACTAGTAGCCAGAGGTGTGAGACTCTGTTTGGCAGTTTTGAGAGCCTCAGTTACGGAAATTTTGTACTTATCCATGGGCTGCTGGCAGTGGAGATAGTAACTATGGCGGTGTTAACATCGTCAGATAGGATTTTGTTAATGAGCCCCAGATGTTGTACAACTGTCTTGAGTCTGGCTAGTCTCGACTACTGCTCGGTATTGTTCCTTTTGAGTTGTCTCCTCGGGATCCTCAGCTCACTAACTGCTTCCTTCTTTTGACGTTAAAGCACTGAGCTATCGGCTGCTTCTTGGTCAGCATGACCTTCTGCTCATCCATAGGTTGTACCTCTTGGGTCAGGGGGGCATTTAAGCTTTGCTTTTTTATGTACTTTGTGTGACTTGTTTAAATCAGCAGCAGCAAATTAGCCAAGGTGAGGCTATTTTGGAGTGTGCTGACATATCTGTGGTTTCAAAGGTAAATCAGTGCAGGTCAAAGAGCCCACACATGAGCACAAGTATCATCAGCGCTTTAGATATTGCTACCACAGAGCTCGAAATGTCCCATATGGTGCATGGCTGCTGGTGTGTGTGTTTTTGTCTGTCTAGTAAACACTGTAAAGCTCCCAGTTTGCTCTTCAGATTTTTCCCCCCTTGGCTAAAATCTCTAACTTTACTCTGAGGATTAAGTGCTGTCAGAGCTGTAAATCCTTGTTGTTTCATTTCATTTGCCTCTCATGTAAAAATCTCTAAACAGACAACTTTGTACTGAAATAACGCACAGGCAGTCAAACGATTTGTTTGTGTGAGCAAAAGCACTACAAATGACGCATAGCTCATCATCACGCTGGCTTTTCCCCACACTGAGGCCGATTCTGTTGCCTATTCCACAGAAAACAAAAGAACAATAGCGGGACACAAGAGCGGCCAAGGACACTGCCCAGTATGTTGTAATTCTCGTAGAGCCTCTGGGTATAGCATCAACACCAAATAGACAAACAATGTCATGTTGACTGCAACAAGACTTTTTGCTTAATGTTGTGACATGCACATTTGCTTTGTATGATTTTATATGAGGTAACACATGTTGAGAGACACTGTATCACTAGTAGCTTTAGCTTCAACACAGACGCTAAATAAAACAATTAATTCATGCAGCGAGAAGGACTGTGCTAGAGTCATGGAGATTCCACTTAGTCCTAAAATTGCTACTTTCTTTCAACAAAGTAGGCCTGGTGTTTGATTTTCAGTGAAAAAAGTTAGGCTGTTGCATTATATGACTGCAATATTATTGTATGTAGGGGAAATGTAATCACCTAGCATCAAACAAGCTGGCACACATGTAAATCACTGCGTTTACCTCTGAAAAATCATGCATTTTCCATCCAATAGCATGCTCCAGTCCATACAGTACAGAGTCAAGTTCCTATGGTATAGACTGAGGGTCCATCCTTTTGCAGTAGTTGCTAAGAGGCTTTTTAAAGTGTGCTTCTGCTGGGCCATGGCAGTCTAGCAGCAGCAAAAATCTGCGCTTGTGTTGTAAAAATTCAGCAAGGTCAATCAAGCAACCTGCAAGAAGCTGAAGGAGGCCTAAGAGCGTTTTAGCTATGCCAAAGAAGTGCTGTTTTGTCTGTCCGTGTGTATGTGCGGACTTGTGTGCATATGTGTGTGAGAGAGATAGCCCTGAGTAAAATAACTGAAATGAGAGCACCAGCATCGCTCTTGTTTTGGCACTGCCACGGCAACTTTTCCTTCTTAATGTTAGGAGTGGGCAGGAGTGGAATTTAAATGTCCTCTCTCTTTCTTTTTACCTTTTTTTGTCGTTGTTGTTCTGCAGATACTTTCTATTTCTTACTTCTTCTTTGATCTTAATGGTCTTGTGTCGTATAGGTCTGGTTGTTGAGGTGTTTGTCTTTGTCTTGGTAAGTGGCTTGATTTGACTTTTATCCTCATGTCTTCACAGGAAACCAATGAGCTGGTGGCGATTAAGAAGTTCAAAGACAGTGAAGGTGAGTGGAGTGAGCCAGGAAGTTAGGAGAGAAGAGAGGAGCTGCTGTCTAATTTCTGCTGCTTTAATTTCCGAACAGAAAATGAGGAGGTCAAAGAGACCACTCTTCGGGAGCTGAAGATGCTTCGGACACTGAAGCAGGACAACATCGTCGAGTTGAAGGAGGCTTTTCGGAGGCGGGGGAAGCTCTACCTCGTCTTCGAATATGTTGAGAGGGTCAGTTCAGCGACTGCGTCGTTATCATTTGACTTCGCACACGTTCCTCCTCTCTGCTCTGCCGTATCTAGATTCCTAGCCTACTTCTAAGTTTCAGGATTTTGAGACTGCTCACTTAAGCATTAAAAAGTGTCGCCATGGCAACATATGAACTATGCTGTTGGTGAGTAATGGTATTCCCCACTGTGTTGCCAGGGTACCCGGCCAAGTGTTTATTTTATGACAGGTTTTATTTTCATGCTGTACTCTAGTGATTTAGCATGGTGTCCCCTCTCACCCCCTGTCAGGGCTAAAATAAAAAAAAGAAACAAAAAAGAAATTAAAGGTTAACACCATTAATATTTTTAGAGCACACTTTCTAACAGGGAATTTCTTGCACCTTGCAGAATATGCTGGAGCTACTAGAGGAAATGCCCAACGGTGCTCCACCTGACAAAGTCCGCAGCTATATTTACCAGCTCATCAAAGCCATCAACTGGTGTCACAAGAATGAGATTGTGCACAGAGGTGAGGAAGTGTCACCCGGTCTATTGTCACATCTGGAAATCACACTTTTGTGATTCAATAATGATTCAAAAAAGGAGGAATTCAGTTCAAATTATGAACTGAACCAACATGAGCATGTTGGTTGAGCCTTTCCACACATCAAGAATAGTTTGCTAAGACAAAGTACTGTCATAGGAGGGAAACTGAAGCTGTAAAAAATGTGTATTGTTGTCTTGTATTCATGTTACGTATTCATGTAGTAGGACAGCATTTGAAGCATATTGTTAATGCCTTGTTTTTCTTCCAGATATTAAACCAGAGAACCTCCTTATCAGCTCTGAGGATGTTCTCAAACTTTGTGACTTTGGTGAGTCTTCTTCGTTTTTTTACAGCAGCCAGCCATGTGTCACGGTGCTGTAAGGATTTAGAGTCTGTGTGCAAGGCAGTAAAAACTCCCAGACCATGCACATTTTGCTGCTCGAGTGATGATAACTTCTTTTAAAATCAAGCAAACTCTTTAACACAGTAAATCGCTTTCAGCTGCCGATTGATTGTGATTATTTGAGTTTTTGCAGTTATCTCCGTGATTGCATTGTGCCCATTTTGGTTTTTTGGGCTTAGTTCGGTGTGAAAAATCCCACCATTAATTTGTCACCTTGTAAGTTGTATATCAGAAGGATCAATTCTGCCATTTGGGAAGCAGCCAAGCAGCATTTCAAAGTGCAGCCTGCTGGGTTTTAACACAATTAATCCGCCAAAGAAGTCCAATTCTGTAAAACACTAATAAAGTGCATTGATATGACACGTCTTTGCCATTTTACTGTTTTCCAGGTGTGTGTTTTACATTAGCGTCAATATCAGCAGGGTCACATGGTTAGTTAGCGTTGCATAATTGGCTAATGCAATGCTATTTAGTCAGCTGGGGTGAGATTTGTTTGTTATTCACTGTTGGAGCTGGCGTTCTGTTTATTGTGACTTTTTTATGATTAAAATGGACTCTCTGTACGACACTTTTCCAAAGCACAGTCTCCAACTGCCTGCAGTGACATAACTAATTAGTTTGATCACATGGGAAGACCGTGTTGTTACTAAGCTGTCCAAATTACTTGAACACTGAGAGTCCTTTTTTTGTTTTTTAATTGATCTTTGAAAGAGTCTAAATTGTATATTATCACACTTCAGTGTGATGGCTGTGTAACATACAGAATCAGGTGTACGTGATTTATTGAATATCTGTTACTCTGGCTCAGGTTTTGCTCGTAACCTGTCTGAAGGAACAGATGCCAACTACACTGAGTATGTCGCCACAAGGTGGTACCGCTCACCTGAGCTGCTGCTGGGGTGAGTTCCTGTGTGTGCATCTGCGTGTGCATGTCTGTGCATACATGTATATATGCAGGAGCTGAAGTGAGAAACATGAAGCGAAGGAAAGAGCACACAGCACAAGATATTTTTCTGTGTTTTTCCACAGAGGGTATCAGCTTTTCTCTTGTGATACCACCGTACCTTAAACAAAATAACACAGTACTGGTCTCATTTTCTCAGCTAATACTCATGTTTAATGTATCAGCTCGTGCCTACAGCCTGACACGAATAAATGCAAGTTATAGCAGAAATCTTATTATATCAAAGCAGCTTTAAATAGAGATCTCATCTCATTACAAACTGAGGCCAAACTTTCCAAAGATCCCAAAAATGTCCAGCTGCATTTTCTGGAATAACACGAAGAAGAAGAAATGAACACGATTTTAAACTGTTTAAATAGGAGGCCAGTAAAAATAGACTTAAAGTGTCTGGGCTAATGTGAGACTTATTTTATTGCATATGTACCAGCATGCATTCATCAGTATAAATAAAATGTACCAAGAAAATATCCCCGACACCATTGACAGGTAGGAAGGATCCATGCTTTCATGATGTTTATGCCAAAATACTACAATCTGAATGTCGCAAATCAATCTTCTGTTCTAGTGAGTTCATGTGAACTGTAGCCTAATTTTCTTGTTCTTAGAAGAATGACAACCAGTGTGATCTTCTTCTTCAAGATTCAGCATATTGTGAGGTGTTCCTCTGCATACCTTGTTTGTGGTTATTTAAGTTACTATCAGCTCTAAGCAGCCTTGCCGTTCTCCTGTGGTATAAACAAGGGGTTTTTGGTGAGAGAGCTGCTGCTCAGCATTTTTGGACCACTCTGTAAACCCCAGAGATGGTTGTGTGGCAAAATCCCAGAAGATCAACAGTTCCTTAAACATTTTTCCCCCATTCTGATGCTCAGTTTGAAATTCTGCAGCTCGCCTTGACCATGTCGACGTGCATAATTGCATTGAGTTTCTGCCATGCGATTGGCTGATTAGATATTTACATTAACAAGCAGTTGAATAATTTTTTTTCCTAACAAAGTGGCTGATGAGTATGTGTAAAAGACACTGGAACTATAGATTTTTTTCCTTTTAGAGTGAATCTATTGTCCAAGCAGCAGGCAAATCAGTAAATATGAAAATCTTGTAAAATTACTCTTAAAAGAAAACTATTAATGGATGTTCAGAAATGAAGTCTGTGCTTTCACTGTGTCTGCAAATAGGCTGTTTTTGTTTCCTTGTAAAAAGCGGGCTTTCTCTCGAACAGCTCAAAAACCGTACTGAACACGATTTCATCTTTTTAATTCGTCCTATATTCTTTTGTAATTTAATGAAAATTGACAAACCAATTTCATTTTTAATTAGTTCACTACTGAAAGCGATGTATTCATTCCGTTCAGTCTAAGAGACCTCAGCTGTAAAAGCTAGTTAAATATGATTCGACATGCTCTATATCTGGACTTTTACATGACACAAACACTCCCAAATCCCCAGTAAGTCTAACTGGATTGTGTTTATTTGGGTTTTATTACATCTGGGCAAATATAATAAACATTACTGCATTATGCTGAATAAAAGTTGACAAAACACAAAAGTTGACTGATTATTGCCTGTATGATAACTGTCACCCACTTAGTGAGCTCTAACTGCATCTCTGTGTGTTTTTGAGCACGAAATTAAGCTAACAAACCTTTTTTTTTATGTAATTTCACTGTAAAAATTTTCATTTCATTTCATTTCTTTAATTCAGATGGCTGGAAAAACAGTCAGTGATTCATCTGCTGCATTATGACATGAGCCACCATGCACACACCATACCCACAGATCAAATTTCACTTTCCTCGTGGACTTCTCTTGCCGATGTTGTTTTGGTGCTTTTGCTGCATTTAATGTCCATTCTAGCTTGGAGACAGCTGAACGTCATCTAGCCTCGGTTCTGTAGCCTGATTTAGTAAATGCCCTGGAACATTTATTGAGACAGCGTTTGAATGCCGCCCACTCAAATACTCTCTCCCTCCAACACCACCTCTCCTCTGCTTCTCTGCTGCCAGATCTCTCACCATTTCTCACCAGACTTCTCAGCTCTCTTCCCTCAGAAATGACCATCTTCTTTATGAGCTTCTCCATCAGAAACACAACATCGATCGTTTTATTTTAATTGCACCACCTCCGTGAATTCTATCACCCCCGCCTCGCTGTCATCCCTCTCATAATCGTCTCCTCTTCATTCGGGGACTTGGTTTTTACCCTTTTTCCTCGCCATTTTCATTTCCTCTCTCATTATTATCACCCTACCGTCTAATTAACGAGGTCTTTTTGCTGTATTTGATGATTACATATTTGTCTGTTTTTCTCCGTCTCAGGGCTCCTTATGGAAAGGCGGTGGACATGTGGTCGGTGGGGTGTATCCTCGGGGAGCTGAGTGATGGACAACCCTTGTTTCCAGGGGAAAGCGAGATTGATCAGGTTGGTGAGCCGAAACAAGGGTGAAGCGTATAGCTAATTAAACAGGCTGACTGAAAAACAGAAATAGCTTTTGATGTAAATAAATCAAAACCTCACATTTCAAAGTCCTACTGTGTGATGTTTAAGGTGGGCTGACAGGTTTTATCTATTTATTTCAGATTGTTATAAAGGGAACAGGCATTCATAATATTTGACGCTTATGCACCTGACAGAACGCCCACTTTGGTTTCTTCTCTGATATAATAAAACAAAAGAAGAATTACTGAGAGTCCTCGTGTAAAAATCACAGTTACAGGGGCTTTTTTGGACTTCACACCTGGGCAAGAGAAATTTCAATTGTGTTGTCGGAAATAAAGCAACTGGGAGACAACAGAGCGAGCGGGGGGAGATCTCAGAGATGGTGATGAGCGCTAATTTTGGAAATTTAATAGCAAGTCAAATTAAATTTTATTCATCCCCAAATCACAAGTTTGTCCAACAGAGCTCTGAGATCTGAGATCTGTGCACCAGAAGAAACTGTCTCTCTGTTAGCTCGCACACAACCCATCGATATATCGAAGAAAGAAAATGTATTAACACAAATAATCTGTCTCAGGCCTGCCCTCAAACACTTTATGGATTATGTGCCGTTCCACCAAGTTTAGTAGGAAATTTATGGAAACAATGTGCATCACTTTCAGGTCAGTGCACCTGGGCTGGTGCTCTCATTTAAAGCACTTTCGTTGATTGGACAGCATGCTGTGTTTAACCATCTAACAACAGGTGTATCATTTATGACACTGTGGTTTTGAGTTTTTCTAACCTCTGATGAAGATCTAAATAAATTGTACACAATAATTCTAAGCAATAACACCCAGAAAGAATTATA